TCTCCCGGCCCTCGGCGGTTCCGCTGCGCCCTTTCCCTGGAGACGGGACGGGACGGGACGCCTGGCTCCGGGGCTCCCTTCCCAGCGCGCCGCGGTAACTGGATCCCCGCCCGGACTGGAGGAGGAGCCGCCGGTGGCGACGGCGAGGGCGGCCGGGCAGCGCCCTCCCTCCTGGGTTGGAAGGGGGCAGGCGGCGCCCCCTCCCCTCCCATCCCCTCCCCTCCGCCCCCCCCGGAGCTGCATATTTGGAGCCCTGCAGGCGGGCAGCCCAGGAGATCCAGCGGGAGGGGGGCGTCCGTAGGTTGAAGCCCCCGCCCCGTCTCACGTCCAGCCCTGGACCAGCTTCAGAAGCGGCAGGCCAAGGGCGGAGGCGGCGGGCCAGGTGTGGGGGTCCCTTGCACCAAAACAGCACCCGGAGCGCGAGAAAGTTCCTTTGGACTGCAACTTCCAGAACCCCCCCCCACAGCTGATGCGGGCGGAGGGGGGGATAGTAGTGGGACCTGAAGTGACATCCAGTCGTTCCTAAGTCCTGGGGACCCTCCGACCTCGCGACCTCCAAAAGCTCCTCGCATTAAAAGCTGTGCTCAGCTCTTGCAAAGCTCAGGGCCCGTGGCTTCCTTTAGGCTGCCAATCCATCTCATGCTTGGCCTTCCTCTTTTCCTGCTGCCTTCAGCTTTCCCCCCCTTAAATGTGCTCTTAAAATCATTGCAAACATTTTTTATTATATCTATGTTGATATAGTAGCACATTATATGCAAATCTCTCTCCACTCTTGACCTCTTTTGGTGGGATTCCTTCCTTCCTTCCTTCCTTCCTTCCTTCCTTCCTTCTCTCTGACATTTCTGAACTGTTTCTGAAACTGAAATAGTTAAGAGATTTTGTGCACCTTGATTCAATCCTCCATCTGATGGGAGACAGCGGCTAAGAAATCAGAAGATGGAGACTCAGCAATAAAGGAACTAGAAAAGATCATGGAGCATCAGGATGTGTCACTGGAGACTAAGACCAAGATCATCCAAACTCTCGCCATCTGGCTGGACAGTTAAAAAAAAAGCTGACAGGAAGAAAAAAAATTCTCGTTTGAAATGCGGTGCCGGAGAGGAGAGCCAGAAAAACAGAATGAGTGGGTCCCAGATCAGACCAAACCTGAACAATCTTTGGAGGCCACAATATTGAGACGGGCATTGTCCTGTTTCGGGCCCATCAGGAAAAGACCACCACGTTGGGAAAGGTGGGAGAGAGAAGGAGAAGAGGAAGGCCAAATGAGAGATGGGCAGACTCTCTAAAGGAAGCCACAGGCTTGCGCTGAGCAGGGCTGTTGAAGACAGGTTGCCATAAGTTGGAGGTGACTTGACGGCAGGTTCGCTCGCTTACACTTTGCCCCTGACGGCATTGCATCCCTTCACCCGCGGGGGCTGACATTCACAAAGGCCTTTGTTTTGCACCCCCGCTCTCTAGCAAGGCCACAAAGAGGGGGAAGCCGCCCCCATTGGGGGGACCCCTCTCCCATAGGTGCCTGGTTAATATGGACTTCACCCCCATGTTTCCTTTCGTTTGCATCAGAGTCGGATCTTGCATTGCTATCCCAACACCTGAGGAGTTGAAATCCAAGACGCCCAGTGAGCCTCCTCAGTAAACCGCCCCCCCCCGGACATCGTGGGCAGAAGGGGCAGATTTGAAACCCCTCCCTGAGGAAGAGCAACGGCCCTCCCAGCAAACCAAGCCCCGTTCTGGCAAAGTCACATCAGCCTGGGCTCTGGTGCATTATTCAGTCTTGACCTCCAAATGGCGCTAGCCTAAGGACTGGCCGGTTCAGCTCCAGCCGGGCCAGGGGGTGGGGGCTGCTGCTCCTAAATCAGAAAAGTGGCTCTTCTTCTTGAAAGACACCGGGGCGCAAGCAAGAGTCTAGGCTGTGCTACGGGCCAGGTTGGCTTTCCTGCCACGGGCAAAGGAGGAAGATGCCACTGGTCATGTGCAAAGTGCACATCCCGTGGAGGTGGAACCATCACCATCACCGCTTCGGCCACTGGGACAGCCCCTGGGTGTTTCTCCCTCATCTGTGTATAGTTTGAATTGCAGAGGATGTCACCCTGACACCCACCTTTCTGTGCGATGTTTTGCACTCAGATTTGGGGGCTGTGCCACCTCCTCCCCCCTCCCTTGTGCCCTGCAGCCCAGCCGGCCGCTGCCAGGACCAACTTTACCTGTGAGGGCCCCCCCCCGCCTGCTTGCCTGCCTGCCTGCGCTTTGGCCCCCTGAGCAGCAGCTGTGGGCAGGCCCTTTGGGAGCCTGGAGCAGGAAGGGCACCTGAAGGTCCCTTTTGTGCGCCAGGTGGAGCCCGTCCCGCCAGGAGTCACGGGGCCTGAAAGGGAGAGGTGGGTGGGTTGCGGGGAGGTGGGCCGGCCGGCACAGCTTTGCCCACCAAGAAGGGGGGGAGAGCGGCAGGCCTTGTTCTGTGTGGCTGAAGAAGCCGAGAGGTCTCCTTAAGAAAGGACAAATCCAGACTCCACAAGGGGATTCCAGAAGGAGCCCTGGCGCCCGTCCCGCCAGGAGTCACGGGGCCTGAAAGGGAGAGGTGGGTGGGTTGCGGGGAGGTGGGCCGGCCGGCACAGCTTTGCCCACCAAGAAGGGGGGGAGAGCGGCAGGCCTTGTTCTGTGTGGCTGAAGAAGCCGAGAGGTCTCCTTAAGAAAGGACAAATCCAGACTCCACAAGGGGATTCCAGAAGGAGCCCTGGCTTCACTAACATCCCAGGTAAAGGAGGAAGCAACAAACCATCTGCAGCTTTTGGCGGGGGGGGGGGGGGGGAACCACCTCCCTCTCCCTTC